CGCATCAACATCAATAAAAATACAAGATAAAGATCTAAAACAGTTTAAGGTTTACTTTTGATAATAATTGTACCATTTTAAAAGGATTTTTAAAAAATCATTTAGTCTCTCCAGATGAAAGTCATTGTCTGATCACATTAAAAATAGGGTATTGTGTTTAAGTACATGCTTAACGCTGGTTTCTATTGCAATATTCCCATTTTAGGGCAACTTATGTACACTATCTATAACATACAGTTGAAGAAAAAAAGTTTAATAAAAGTTTGTGATTTTTTAAACACCATTTAAAGTCAATATTATTTGCCTCTTTAAGCTGTATATTTTTTAAGTCAACACAACAAACCATCATTATACAATAACTTGCCTAAATGATCCTGACCTGCCTAGTTAACCTTATAATTACCCTAGTGAAGCCTTTAAATGTGACTTTAAGCTGTATAGAAGTGTCTTGAAGAATATCTAGTCTAATATTATTTACTGTCATCATGACACAGAGGAAATATTAAAATAAAATAAATATTAGAGATGAGTTATAAAACTATTATGATTAGAAATGTGCTGAAAACATCTGCTCTCCGTTACACAGAAATCAGGGAATACAAATAAACAGGGAGGGTTAATCATTGACTTCAACTGTAAATATATAATATATAAATAAATAAATAAATCTCATTGTTTTTAGTCAGGTTGGACACTCTGAGATACTTTTGCTAAAAAAAATCTTTATTGTCAAATGAATGCAGCAACACAAACAGCAACAGTTAAACACATCTTCAGTTATCAGAGCGTAAAGACCTGCTCACTTTACTCCTCAAGTCATTCAGTCACTAAACAAACTCTATGAGGATTGCACAGTAAATTGACAGCTTCAGTTGGTGCCGGTGGAGCCGAATCCGCCCGCTCCTCGCTCCGTCTCATCCAGCGTCTGAAAGCAGAAAATAGGACAGGAGTATTGATCATTATTAATAAACCAGACGAGAGTGAAGTCAGAGTCCTGACATGCTCATTTATTCACATCTTAAATGAGTCGTTTTCATCTTGCATTCATTTTCATTTCAAAAGGGGCAGAAAAAATAAAGACTTTCAGATGAGATTTATTTCAATAGATAGTTCATCATTATTAACCATTTATCAGACAAATAAAGCAACAACAAAAACTATTTTAATCACTTTATGCAAAATAAACACCAGATTAAAATTCAAGCATTTAAAAAAAAAAAAAAAAAGATTTCCACTATTCATATCTGTGTGTGTGTGTGTGAGAAAGAGAGCGTATTCATGAGTGTGTGTGTGTGTGTTGACCTGTAACTCCTGCAGGTCCGGGTAACAGATCTTCTCACAGATGAGCTGAGCGATGCGGTCTCCTTTCTTCACTGTAATAAAGTAAGTAAATCATCATTAATGAGCCGATCAACAGCGATTATAATGATCCTCATGTGAGCCTGGAGCACAGCAGCAGCCATGAAGCTCAATATTCACACAATCCTGATTTAGAGATCATCAGAGCTGCAGAAACATCCGTCCACTGATCAGGGGCTCGCGAGGAGAATATGAAATACAACAACAGTGTATATAATCGTCTCTCCATATTTTATAGGTGATGTATGCATATCATAGACAATATTTCAAGATGAAAATGATAATAAAAACCTTTTTAATGTACTGAAAAACATCCCAGTATATGATGTTGACAGCGAAGCGGTTCAATACACATTAGTGATGGGTTGTTCATGAACGATTCATTCATTTTGAACGAATCTTCAATATGACTCAGGAACTGTGAGTCCTCTCAGGGAGTGATTCGTTCATCCGCGCGTGCGCACATTTGTGCAGCTGGTATCGTTCATTTCAAGTCTTTTGAGTCGTTCATCGTGGAAAGGCAGAAGCCAATCATATGCGTTTAGAGCCGGAAAAAGAATTGATCTGTTCATCTCTCGGGTCCTCGGGTTTGAGTCATTCTGTCACGTGATGAACGAACGACTCAAGAACCAGAAGACTCAAGGTGAACTCATCATCATGGCTGCTGTCTGCTCAGACTGTGCACATTGATTAAGACAAGTGTGCCGCAAGCCTACGTTTGAGTGAAGGTCTCGGCCGTTAGATCGCCCCCTGGGGGCTGGCTGCAGTACAAGTCATAAAGCCCGCCTCCTCCGTGTTAATGAAGGAGACTTGAGCCCAAATAAAAAAAAATATTACACTTGCAATAAAATGTCCCGAAAGATGGTTCTGGTGGATTAAGGCACTGGTTATTGTGCTGAAATAGGTGCAGATCTTCATTTTTGTAAACAGTTTGTTTTTAGCAGTAATTTAATGCTGGGCGTGTCATCGTGATTGACAGCTGTGATTGACAGTTTCTCAAAGCGCGGCGTCTGAGCTTCGGCAGGAGACTGAAGTAGACTGAAATGTTATTATTCGATTTCTGTGTCATTTTACCATGACAAAATGAGTTCAGCAGTAAACTATAGTTTCTGACATACATGATCCTGGGGGAACACTGTTTATTCGCTAAGTTCAGGGCTTTTTTCGGGCTTTATTAGTTTGCTGATACACGCCTAGCCACCCAGATAGCAAAACACAGTTCCGGCTAGATTCTCGCCTGCCGGAGACTTATCTCTTAGAGCTCAGACTGACTAATGTTACCTCTGCTGGACCTACTCCGGATGCCTGGACTCACTACCTGATTCCAGCCCGAGTCAATCGAGCCAGATGCGGCGGCATAACTTGATAAGTTATGCGCTGCGGCCTGGAGCTGGCGCGATTGAATATATAAAACCCTCATATTTGTTAACGTTATTACATCCATTTGTGTTGATATGACAGCAAACGCATGCTGAGAAGTTTGGGGGGCGTGGTTGATTTTACATAAAGCGTTTGATTGGACGCTCGACTCCGCTCATTTTCGCGGCTCCTCCTCTGGCTCCATCAGACAGTCCTTCTGCGCATGTCTGGCTCCAATTTCAGCAGTCTTTTGTGACAGTTTGTGCCCGTCAAGCAGGCGTTTTGCCCTCAAGGCATTCAATTGAAAAAGGGGCTGTCGCGTCGTCCATATTTTTTACAGTCATTGGATTAAGATTATATGTGACTGTCAGTGTAACGTGAACGAATCACTGACATTTGAAGACATGAAGAGGTGAACTGAGCAGAGACAACAACACCTTCATAGATAAAACAGCAGGTCAACACTGAATTATTATGATCTCCCTCTTATAGGATTCTATTGATCACTTATTTGTCGTGTGATCAACCTTTCGGGCTAGTTGTAGATGTGTTTGGAAGCAATTATTAACATTTTAATAATATTTTAGCAAATCAAATGAAAAAAATGACTCGAAAAAAGATTCGTTCATCTCGATAAACTAGACTCAAAGATCAGAGTCAGTGAAATGATGTGAACTTCCCATCACTAACACACATTACTAATTAAAAATGGAGTTTATATGTTTTTTGGTAGACAATGTACAAAATGTCTCCATGAAGCACGACCTTCAATAAATCTGACATGAACTCTTCTGTTCTCCAGGGTCACAGATCTCGAATTCTACACTATAGATGTGTCAAATATTTCATCCTGTTCACTTCTGACAAATTATTATTATTATGCAAATGATATTATCGTGGGAATATGCAGAAGAAAGCCCCGCCCCTACTCAATATTCGGCTTGGGTGTGAAGTACATCAGCAGACTGAAGTAAGTCCAGCAGATCCTCTTCACTCAGCCGTGGTGACATTAATTATATGTAATGTTTATTCATTGGTTGGGCGTGCAGTTCACTGTTCTGCCTTCTGATTGGCTGTGAGATTGAATGTGTGCGTGATATCAGGTGTTGATGTGCTGTATGAGTAATATTGATCATTGGACCTTCGAACGGCTCCTTGTTGAAGTTGAAGATCACGACTCCCAGATTCCCTCTGTAGTCTTCATCAACCACACCGGCTGAGGGGAAACACACAACTCACTTTAGAATTTACACACACACCCCCGCGTGCACACTTGCACATACATGCACACACTTGTATGCACGCTAACAGGTGCAAACACACTCAAATGGATGCATGCACACACACTTCTATGCACACTTACACTTACACACACTTGCATGCACACACACTCGCATGTACAAAAACATACGCACTCACGCTCCCACACACACACGCTTGCACATACACTCACTTGCGCATACATGCACACACTTGCATGCACTCTTGCAGATGAACACACACTTCCATGCACACTAACCCACACTCACACATACAAAAACGCATGCACACTCACATTTCAATGCTGGCGCGCGCACAAACACACACACACATTGTATTTTACTTACCACCAACATCAATGAAGTGCTTGACAGCGAGACCCGATCGTGGTGCTAAAACACACACACACACACACACACAGTAAATGCAGGAAGCAGAGAGTGACAGATTGTGACTGACGTGTGTAGTGTGTGTCTTCTCTCACCGACTCTACCGTAGTATCCGTGTGGAACGGCGATCTGGATGTCAGTCTTGACCAGTGTTTTGTCCATCGGCCCGATGCTGTAGTCATAAGCACTGAAACAGGCAGATCAGGACAAAATGTCCCAGTAAACAGGATTCCTCCACATTTAAAGGCTCGGTTCACTCATTCAGTGGTTCTAACATTAATGAACTCTTGAATTGAACTCAATACAGAAAATCTGCATCTGTTTCCCAGCACTGTTCAGCAGATCCTCCTCTGTGTTCAGCAGATGACAGAACTCTCATATTTACAACAAACTCTTTTAAACTCACTATGAGCACAAAATATTCCCCAGAGTGTGGTTTAATCTTCATGATGCTCAGTCTGAATTANAATATAGTTTCTAAGAAATGCTTGATTACTAAGCTGTAAAAGATTCAATACACAGCATAAATATACCCACTGATAATCCTAGACAGTTTAGTCTTTATATATATATATATATATATATATATATATATATATATATATATATATATATATATATATATATATATAT